CCCAGGGATCACTGGACAGGGATCGGGAGCAGGATCCCTGGCTGATTTCCTCTCTCTATCTAATCCTGGGATCTTCTTGGGTAGAAAATTTCAAAAATTCACCATCCTCTGAGTGAAGAAATACCTCCTCAACTCAGTCTGAAATAGCCTGTCCTTGTCCTGAGAGTGTGACCCCTGGTTCTAGAGTCACCAGCTATGGGAACCATCCTATGTATGTCAATCCTGTCACATCTTAGAAGAATTCTGTAAGTTTCAGGGAGATCCCTCTCATTCTACAAAACTCTACAGAATACAGACCAAGGTTAATCTGGTGAACCTCCACTGCACTCCCTCAGTGTCATTTCAATCCCTTACTTTGATAAGGAGACCAGAACTGAACACAATAAGCTCTCATTAAAGCTCTATACAATTGCAATAACACAACTTGACCCTTGCACTCCAATCCCTTTGCCTTCTTAATTGCTTGATACATCCACACGCTCACTTTCAGAAACTCATAGACAAGGCACCCAAATCCCTTTGGACGCTAACACTTGCCAACCTCTTGCTGCTGAAGAAATATTCTGCCCCCATATAGTCCACATACCCCAAGACACCCCATGCTTTTTCCATGTTTTTCCTTTATATTCCACCGTTCCCCAAACTACATATCCATATTCCACTCCTTCAGTTGGTTTAAGTGTATAATTTATATAATTTATAGATTTCTTGAAAACCAACTGACGTGCCGACCTGTTTCTGCATCTGGCCTCTGTCTTTGCTGCTTGTTTGCTGAAATTTGCGCATTTCTTTCAATTCCTCATCAATATTTTTCACCATGTCCCTGATTGGAAAAATGAAGATTAAATAATTAAAAGATGCTTCCATTAAAATAAACAGGTTATAATCAGATAAAAATGGATCTGAAATAAACTTAAAGTGTTAGAGAAACACAGCAGGTCTGGCAGCATCTGTGCAGAGAGAAACAGAGTTAACATTCCAGTCTGGTATGGCTTCTCTTCACAGATGGAAAGATGGGCCTAAAATCTGAAATACACAGAACACATGAATTAAAAACAATGATTATAAAGTGTATTCAAGGGCTAGTGTTTTACTGGGACAGAGGGCTTGTCTCAATGCCATGTAGGTGGTGTTAGTGGGTTTGGCGGGGGGAGCGCGAGGAGGCTATCTCCCCATTGATAGACTTCAGTAAGGACAAGCTCCCACATGGTAGGCTGGGGTAGTAAGGTTAGATCACATGGGATCCAAGGAGAGGTGGCCAATTGGGCACAAAATTGTCTACTATCACCAAGCCAGAGAGTGGTGGTGGAGGGCTGGGTTTTTTCAGACTGGAGGCCTGAGACCAGCGGTGTGCTGTAAGGATTGGTGCTGGGTCCACATCGCTTTGTCATTTATATAAACAATTTGGATGAGAATATAGGAGGTATGGTTAGTAAGTTTGTGGATGACACCAAAATTGGTGGCATCGTGGACAGTTAAAAAGATTAAGACTACAACAAGATCTTAATCAGATGGGCTAATGGGCTGAGAAGTGGCAGATGGAGTTTAATTTAGGTAAAATGCGAGGTATTGCATTTTGGTAGAACCATCAAGGGCAGGACTTACACAGTTAAAGGTAGGGCCCTGGGGAGTATTGTTGAACAGGGAGAGACCCAGAGGTACAGTTTTATTGTTCCTTCCAAGTGGAATCACAGGTAGACAGGGCCCTGAAGAAGGTGTTTGGTACACTTGCCTTCATTGCTCAGACCATTGAGTATAGGAGTTGGGAAGTTATGTTGAGGTTGTACAGGACTTTGACGAAGCCACTTTTGGAGTACTGTGTACTGTTCTGGTCACCCTACTATAGGAAGGATGTTGTTAAACCAGAAAGGGTACAGAAAAAATTTACAGGAATATTGCCAGGACCTGAGGGTTTGAGTTATTGGGAAAGGCTGGATTGGCTGGAACTTTTTTTTCCTGGGGCTTCGGAGGCTGAAGGGTGACCTTCTAGAGGTTTATAAAGTCATGAGGGGCACTGATAGGGTGAACAGACAAGATCTTTACCCCAGGGTAGGGGAGTCCAAAACTAGAGGGGCATTGGTTTAAGGTGAGAGGGCAAAGAAATAAAAGGGACCTGACGGGCAACCTTTCCACACAGAGGGTGGTCCGTGTATGGAACAAGCTGCCAGAGGAAGTGGTGGAGGCTGGTACAATTACAACATTTAAAAGACATTTGGACAGGTACATGAGTAGGAAAGGTTTAGAGGAATATGGGACAAACACTGGCAAATGGGGCCAGTTCAGTGTAGGAAACCTGGTCGGCATGGATGAGTTGGACCGAAGGGTCTGTTTCCGTGCTGTATGTCTCTATCTGTAGTATTTCACTTTTACTTCAGTATCTGAGGAGCCATAAATGGTTCTAAACATCTCCACTTCTGAGGTTATGATGAAGGGGAGCCAGTGGAAGTGGTTTATTTGGACTTTCAGAAGGTTTTCGACAAAGTCCCACACAAAAATAAAAGAGTATGGGATTGGGAGATAGCGTTCTGAGATTGATAGAGAACAGGCTGGCAGACAGGAAACAAATAGCGAGAATAACTGGGTCTTTTTCTGAATGACAGCCAGTGATTAGTGGGGTACTGCAGGGATCAGTGCTGGGACCCCAGCTATTCACCATGTATATTAATGATTTAGATGAGTAAATGTAATATCTCCAAATTTGCAGATGACGCAAAGCTGAGTAAGGGGGGGTGCGGTGAGCTGTGAGGAGGATACAGAAATGCTTCGGTATGATTTGGACAGGCTGAGTGAGTGCGCAAATGCACGACAGATGCAGTATAATGTGGATAA